ATTGACGTGTCCTTCTTGTAGGTCAATAGAGAGACTCGAAGGGAATGACGTGTCTAGTCTTCCTTATTCGTTCTACCTCGACTCACTTCTGCAGCTACTTCACAATATGAGGATCACTGTCGACACACAAGACCAACAGCAAATACCAGACTATGTCAACTGCAGTATGCAAACAGAATTCGACGCTTTCTATCCGCAATTGCAATATCAGGAGAAACATGAAACAGCAATGGTTAAGAAAGTCAGCGATGAGGAAGAACATAAAGAACAACACATGATTATGAAAGGACTTACCGAAATTATCAGAAAACTAAAGGCAAAGCGAGAGAAGCAAAAAACACAGAATTACGAGGAACAACAAAAAATTGAAAACAGCGCTGGACCTAGCATCCTGCAAGGTCAAAAACTCCTAGATGGCAATGCAACAAATTTGAATGAGAAAAAACAGCAGGAACTTCCTCAAAGATGTGATGTATTTCCTGAAAAACCTTCCATAATTTCCAGTAAACCAGTTGCAGAACACAGGAACGTCGCTCAAAGCGTGACAGATCCATCACCTTCTTCCGACTTGCAAAGATTGGATGATATCAGGTGCGTTTTAATTTTTTTCCATTTTGCCTCCAGTGGCAGCAGTACTTATATATGTAAATATGTAAATTCATGAAAATGAAGTGTTTTCATGTTATGTAGTGATAGTACTCGTCAAGAATGTGATGACATCGACTTAAGCGAAGAAAACTGGTGGTTTGGCAGTATCACCGATAGGTAAGAAACTTATTTGAAATCATCGGAATATCGCCCCCCCCCCTCCGTACTCACCTCAGCGCTCCTCCCCCCTGACTCACCAAACAGTTTATGTTTTTTAGCTGTTATTTCATAGGCAGGAATCCATTACTAGAAGCTTATTACTGTTCACGCACATCGCCTTTGGTTTTTTAGCGTTTACACAGTCACACGATTCACTTCAAAACCGGATAACAACACAAAGGCCTAGTGTCCATATTTATGTACTGTTTAACACGTAATAAACGAGCAGAAGTGTTTAATAGGGCATAAAGATTCGAGCCGAAGGCGATATATAATACAYCACTTGCAAATTTATTGAAAGGCTTCACATACTCCAACACTAATCAAACCGATCACGGATTCTTGGAGAAATGGTTTGTTAAAATAAGTTGAGATAAACGGGACAAACTGATCATGCGCGAAACATTGGTTATTGTGTCTTTTTCATTCGTATAGAGATGCAGCGGCCATTTTACTGAAGGACTGTCCTGATGGCACGTTTTTATTAAGAAACAGTTTTTTCTACCCTGGGACATATTCCATCACTCTTTCGTAAGTAATCGATTCATTTTTGCATCAATACCTGTGTTGTCTTCTTTCAAAAACCTTTTTGTAATACAATAGTGCTCCTAGCTTCATTTTAATTACCTTTCTTTCGCTCTCATAGTCTTTGTTTGGCATTTATTCCCTCTGTTAACATGCTGTGACGTCATTATGTGACCAGTTAATGATTGATAACAGATGTTCAGACTGAAAGCTCTTTGTGGTTGTCAGTATGGTTTATTAACTAGTATATCATTCTTGCTATTAAATGGTAACAGTTACATGCTAATTTGCTAAAACAAAGTATAAACAATATTTCGTGTAATTGCCACATTTCCCATGTACGCTTTTGCATTTCTTTCGCTTCTATTCTAATCACTCCAACGACAGGCTCTTTGCAATGGTACATTATTTACTACAACTATATCAGAATGCCTTGTGCGTTTTATTGTTATTCAGATTTTTAATCACTTTGAAAATTAGTAAAAAAAAGAAAAATTGTTTAACCAATCTCCAAAGGGAATAAGAATCTGACTAAGAAGAAATGCGCAAAGCATTCTGGTACTCATATTTCAAAAATGCAATTCAATTGAGTTTGCTGCAGCACGTAATCCAMGTTTGAAATGATTGTTAAAAACTGTTCGTTGTCAATGAATGTGGATGTTGACAATCATCTTTTCCAGGTTGGACTGCAAACCTCGCCATATTCATATTATTCAAGTTGCAAGTGGTTGTTATGGTCTTACCGAGGAAAATGCGATTTATCGTACTCTGAAAGACCTGGTTCAAGACTACCACGACACTGACACACTACAAAAACACAATAGACATCTCGCAACAAAACTGGTCTATCCTTTGAGATTTTTCAAGAAGAATGTATAGTTGATTGACAAGACAGTGCGTGACACAAACATTAGAGAATACCAATACGTGACATTATTCGTGATTATCACATTGCGTGACATGGAATTTGACACGTGATCATGACAATCAAGATTGCTTTATGAACTTCGGGTTTGCTGAGATTGAGCCCACAGGATCCTGGCAGTGCGTGACATGATCGTGACATCAAGTGATTGAGTGACATGAATGCTGTAGTGTCATTGCGWGACAAATGTAACGTGATAAGTAATCTAAACCATTCGAGAAATGGCGATACCAAATTAGGTTACCGTTACGCCTGATTATGATAACTAAAGCTATAATTAAATGCATAGTCCAGTGTTTTTCCAATGTTTGGTTTTGCTTATTGGTAATAGCTTACTTTCGCAATTTTTGGAAGTGCGCGACTGGTAACGATTTTTAGCATCAAAACGAATGTGAAATGGCGGGAAGATTTTCAAAACATAAACAAAGAAGTATCAATAAAGCAGTACCATGGTTGGCGTATCCGTTGATCGTTTCCAATCATTTCCATGAGATTCAAAAGATAAAAGACTGGCGGCTTTGTTGATGGTCCTCAAATATGGCCGCTGTGACGTAACTTAAAAACGAAGATTAGAGTCAACGTATTTAATCCGCGAAATTTTGCTGTCTTATTTCTACTTTTTTTCTCTATTCATGAGTTGTCATACCCTGGTTAAGTGACCAAGAATCAAAGCATTGAACCGCGACGTTGAGCACAGATCTTTTCTTTAATGATCACTGTACCTTTGCGCCTCGGTTCAATGCTTTGTTCGTGGTCACTGAACCAGAGTATGGAACATGGTGAGTGAAAAGAATGGTCAATCAAAGGTTTTTCCGCTATTTTGAATTTCTCTGATTAAATGTCTTTGACTGTTACATCACTTGTTCCGACGTGTTTACACACTTGATGCAGCTAAAATCACACATATGAATATTACATTTGCTTCTCACATGGGGAACGAGGGAAGTRACATTGGGTTATCCAGCTTATAAGAAAGGATTCCTGAAACAGAAACAGACAATAAGCCTTTTCCCGCTAAATGCGAGCGACCGCTGTACTAGTAGACAACAGACTCACTTGCGCAAAGAACAAACGTAAAGCAGGAAAAAATGTTGACATAAAAATAGTGATGATTATGGATGTGGCCGGGCACGTTTTCTGTAAAGGAAGCATGAATATAACGACCTTAATTGAAGTTGTGACGTCAAGCATGTTGTATTTAGATGTTCGTCACATGTATATACAGTCTTTGTTCTAACATCGGAAGTGCGTAACTCACGTGACCATATTTGATCAGTGACAATGGATAAAAATATCTACTTTTCTGAGAAAAAGCTCGACCATTGAAATATGACGTCCATATTGAAGTAGTGACGTCAAGCAGGTTGTATTTAGATGTTATCGTCATAGGTCACGTGAGAATATATCAGTCACTTGGTAACGTTTGAAAGGAAGTATGTATGAACTGTAAAGAATATGTCACGCGAACGCATATAGGTGGGCGCCAATGTTTACGTTTTAGCTAATTTGCATAAAAGTCAGAAATCAAATTTAAAACCACAGGAAATCAAAGGCTATATATAAATGGAAAGAGCTCATTCCAGTTGGCAATTCCTGAAATTTTGAAGGCAATTGGTTAAACTTTTAAGAGATATCAACCGCCGAATTTGCAAGGTTTTCTAAAGAAATGAACGTTTTTGGCATTATATAGCCAACCACGGAATGATTTTACCATGAAAGCGAACACGTTCTTTTTTTTTTCACACACAGGGCAATTAAGGCATGGCTCTCGGGAAAAATAGCAAATATTGGCTATTTGATATTTGGTGATATTTTTCAAGAGCTTCGGCAAAAGAAAAATCCAAGATGGCCGCCAGAAGTCACATGATATCGTTTCCATGGAACAAAAGCCATAAAAATGCAGTACTACCAAAGTAGGGATACTTTTTTTTTACCAAAGTTTGATGGAATTCTATTGAAAGTCCAATTTGTTTGAATAAATTTGATGAATATTCGCTATTTTTCCAAGAGCCATGCCTTAATTGCCCTGAGTATCTAAAAACAACAACAACAAGCAAACAAACAAATAAAGAGGAATAAGGAGATAACCTTTGAAGTGTATTGCTCGGATTACCCGAGCAACATTATGTAGTCATGAACGTGGATGGGTCGACCTCTACCGTCACAGAACGAAACTTGAGGCATTGATCGAGACAAAAAAAAAAACAACAAAGAATTGTAGGTTTATGTTCAACAATGCCAGTTCTTCTACTGAACATATTCGTTTTTTGTATTGACTGTCTCTCATTTATGACTCTCTCTTTGTTCAAACAGTATAGTGCACAGCTTCCGTGACTTTATTTGATCAGTGACGTACATTGGATAAAAATAGCTACTCTTCTGAGAAACAACTCGGTCATTGAAAAGACGCTTAGAGTAATGGCGGAGCTGAACGCATTTGCGAACAAACTTGAGAAGGAACTCACTTGTTCAATTTGCGAAGAGATATTTACCAACCCAAGGACGTTGAGATGTCTACACAGTTTTTGTTTGGACTGCATATCTGCCTGGAATGAATCGTGTAAACGACAAACACAACCATTGAGTTGTCCTTCTTGTAGGTCATTAGAGAGACTCGAAGGGAATGACGTGTCTAGTCTTCCTCCTTCGTTTCATCTTCAACCACAGCTTCAGCTTCTGAACGATATGCGAATTGCTGCCGACAAACAAGAACGACAAGGAGCGTCGGACTATGTTAACTGCAGTATACAAACGACTCAAACGGAACTCAACGCTTTCAATTCGGAATGTAAAGAGAAACATGATGAAAGAGCAATGGCTAAGATAGTCAGTGATGAGGAAGAACGTAAAGACCAACAAATGACAAGATTTCTTGAAAATCTGAGAAAACTAAAGACAATGCGAGAGAAAGAGCAGAAAAAACAGAATTATGAAGAACAACAAGAAATTGAAAACATTGCTGGACCCAGCATCAAAGGTCAAAAAATCCGAGATGACAAAGCATCACTTTCTCAAAGACCACCCGTAAAGATTTTCAATTCTGAAGGAAACGATGTAATTGGAAGAATAAGAATAAGACGATTCCAAGCATTTCCTGAAAAACCGTCCATAGTTTCCAGTAAACCAGTTGCAGAACACTGTAACGCAAGTGTATGTTCATCCAAAGCTCAATTCACACAAAGCGTGACAGATCGGTCACTTTCTTCCGACTTGCAAAGACTGGATGATATRAGGTGCGTTTTATCCCCTTGTGCATCCAGTGCCAGCAGAACTCATATGTAAGCTCATCCAAATTAAATGTTTTCATGTTGTATGTAGTAATAGTACCCGTCAAGAATGTGATCAATTACCAGACATCGACTTAAGCGAAGAAAACTGGTGGTTTGGTAGTATCGATAGGTAAGAAACTCATTTGATAATTATCAAATTATCGGAGTTTATAACAACCAAATCAAACAGGCTATCTCCTGTTTAGATAGATAGATACTTTAATAGAAAATACATTGTAGCCGTTGGCTAAATTGCGTACATACAATGAATACAAATATAAACTATATCGTTAACTATATAACTCGGATCAATTATATGTCAATTAAACCAGTTATATTAAATATATTAAAATACGTTCCTTACAAGAGGCCGCTAATTGCACATTGTTCCTTCATTCCTATTTTGTGAGTAATATATACACTGAGATTTATTATTGCATACAGCCTTTTGCACAAATTATGAGACATTTTTATATATATAAATATACCTAACCAAATATCAAAAACACCCAAGAAATTATGGGATACCGTCGCTGATATTTTGTCTGTAACAACCTGATGCTAGGCAATCATGACAAAATATAATAGAGATATACCATAATTTCTGGGGTGTTTTTGATATTTGGTTAGGTATATTTATATATATAAAAATGTCTCATAATTTGTGCAAAAGGCTGTATA